GTCTCGCGCTGATTACAAGAATTCAACTTCTGTGAATTGTGTTTTGCATTTGTGAAATGTATTTTATTAATGTGTATTCTTATTTTTTGCATGTGAATTGTTTTTTTGTGATTTTTTTTTTTTTTTTTTCTTGCACGTGAAAAGGGTTTCATGCATGTGAATTGGGATATGCATGTGTGCATCATGTCTTTTGCGTGAATTATTATTGAGTCTAATCTGCTTCCATACAAAACAAGGGTCCATGTGCCCATAGCATGCTGTTCAAGTCTCAACCCCTAGTGAGCCGCCTACACAGAATGCACCTGTGGTGCTCAGAAATGTTGTCTAGGTATGCAGCTCTTTAGGATTTGAGACACAGCCATTCTTATCCTACCAATTCATTCCTAATGTTGTCTAATTCTAGTAAGTTTTGGAAACAACGTGTTCTAAACCAAACTGATATAGCATGTGATTTTTCCATTTAATAAAACTTTATATTTGTTTTTATGTAAGAGATCATTTGTACTGAATGTGCAAGAAATTACTGTTCTACTATTATTAGGTTGTGATGCAGCTTTGAGCTATTATTTTGCCATTAATTTAATAATTAACAAATAAGTGAATAAATAAATAAAATCCTCATTTTCTTACTGTTAAGGGATTAAATAAATTATTATACCCAGAATTTGGGCGAACTATTCTTTTCTGTACACAAAACCATATAAAGCTTTCATTATTTTATTCCTAAATATAAATGAAATGCCACACTTCTTGAAAATTTTAGAAGCAGATGCACAGGAATAAATACAAGCAAACTAACAAAAATCCCACACTGCTTTTAGTTTGCGACTCATGTTTTAATGCAATGTTTAAAAGCAATTCCCAGTGAAGGTTGCATGACTGAAACCTTGTATTAACATAATATTTGCAGGCTACAGCAGTGTCCGGGTCCAGGATTCTATTTTTGTTAGACTATTATTTTTGTCTGCCACAAATATATACTGTATATACACACACACATACTAA